CGCCGCCGAGCGCGCGCGGGGCGCGGGGCCCCGGCGGCTACACGCGCAGCAGGCCGCGAAGCAGACGAGCGCCAGCGCCAGCAGCGCCGGCCCCACGACGAGCGGCGCGTTGCTCCGGGGTGGGAAGGAGGCGAAGGCGCCCACCAGCGTCACGTTCACGCCCGCCAGCAGCACGCACAGGCCGCAGGCGCAGAACAGCGCCGGCGACGGCAGCCCGGGCAGCCGACCCCGAGCGCGGCCCGCGAGCGCCTGGGCCGGGGCGCCTCGGCTCTTCTCTGGGGGCGGCATGGGCCTGGGGACGCCGGGCACGCATCAGGCTCCTTCCTGCCGCCGGCCCGGCCAGGCCCACCTGGCGAGCTCACGGGAGTCCTGTGGGCACAGAGCGGGAGGGAGGGTCAGCGGGTTAACTCAGTTTCCAGAACTCTCAGCTCTGGGGCGACACTCAGTGCCTGGGAGTGCCGCGGTTATCTTGGCCAGCCCCCTGCTTCTGCCTCCGGGGAGCAGAACCCATCCTGTATGGGAATTGGCCCTGGGCTCTCTGGTGGCTAATCTTACCATCCTCCCTCCAGTCCTTCAGACAGATGCAATCCCTCCACCTCCTCTACTCCAGGAAGCCTTCCTGCATTAATTAAATTAAGCGAGTGAAAGGTTGTAAAGTGCCCAGCGTGTGCCTAGGTGCTCATAAAATGACAATCATGATCAGTAGTCCTAATTAGAGGGCAGATGGCGGCTCTTGGGATTTAGACAACTTCTAACACCTTGCAAGTGGAAGCAGCTTTAGAAACCATCTGCTCAAGCCCTTCCTTGTCTAGATAAGGAAACTGAAGCCCAGAGAGCTCTAGCAATTTACCCAAGATCCAGGACCAGGATCTAATGACCTGCCACCTGGCCTGGGTGTCCCCACCCTAGGCTCTGGTAGGCACAGCAGTGACATTAACTTTCCTGAACATCAGATGAGGCCCTGGAGTGAGTGACCACGTGAGAATAAGGAGCTCCTGATGTTTCAGATGGCCAGTGAGAAGGGACAGTCTACATGGGCTGGAGCAGACCCAAGATCCTTTGTAGACTGAGCAGATTCCAACCCTGTCCCCGTCCCACCCCCAGGACTCTACTATTAAACCTGGACTTGAAAGCCTAATCACTGGTTGCTGGAATGCCTTTCTAGTATTCTCTAATTGTCTCTGGTTCTGGGATCTATCACTGGCTTCTAGAATTCTGGGAATACATGCAGAAGCAAAGGTAATGAAATTCGAGTCTGGAGCTTTAGGACTTCTATTTGAGAATTCTGTTCTATAACATGAAATCACAGGTATAAAGGTCCTCAAAGGATGAGATCATGGCTATGGAACTGTGTTAGGATTGTGAAAAAATGTCAGAATAGGCTCTGAGTGGGGATGAGAGGGAGTCATGGGGGTAGTGATACCGCAGGCGGGAGCAGAGCATGCAGGTTGAGTAACTGAGCGTGACTGAGTGGCCTCTCTGTGCTTCAGTGTTAACACCTGTAGTGTGGAGTCAGTGATAGAACCTACCTCATAGGGTGTAGTGATCATTAAATGCTTTAAGCTAAATCGGGTGCTTTGAACAGTGCTTGGGAGGACAGTGAGAATTCAATAACTGTCAGCCATGTTGTCACGGTGGTGGCTGCTAGAGAAGGGTATCTATAAGGTCTCAGATCTGGGAGGTGGGGTGTGTCAGTTTGGAAACAGAACAGTTCATCTATCCCTCAGGTGGGACTGCTTTGGGACTGAGCCCAGAGTTGTCCTTCCTGAGTCTGCAAAGCCTGCACACTGTGGGGTTGGAGAAAATGTGATGACTGGGTGAGTGAAAGCGAGGGCTAGTGTGGGAGAGGGGCAGCACAGTCCTCGCTCGACACAGGCTGGAATCAGCCTGGCCCAAGCATGTCAGAGGGCCAGGAGGGCCACCTCTGCTTCTTGCCCAGATCTGATCACTTCAGGGCTCCCTCCCCTGGCACCACGGTGAGAGGTAGAAGTTCTATTGGGACTCCGGCCAGAAGCACCTTGCTGACTCAGCCAGCTGACCCAGAGCCAGAAATCCCCAAATCCTGGCCAAGCAAGCACTTGCTGACCTTTCAGAGGACTTACAAACCACAGATTCCTCAGGAAGCTCCACATTTGCATGAACCATCTGCTCCCTTTAACCTGCAGCCTTTGGCTCTGCCAGGCAGAAATAGCAACCACTGGAGGATACAACACTTCAACAGTTGGCAAAGCATGTTCACAGCCATGACATCACGGAATCCCTACAAGCGCTTGATACTTATCAACAGTATCAACACATTTTACAACTGACGCAACCGAGGCTCAGGGAGGGAAGCGGATCTGGGCTCTTGTGGCTGGAGTAGAAGGAAGACCAGACATTCTGGGACCAGAGTCAGAGAATACATACATAATCTGGTGCACACCATATGTGATCTTGCTTCATTTTAAAGAGAAGGATTTGATCTCCTCAGGGTTGATGTGGACGTGAATCCTAACAGCCTCTTCCTGTTGCCCTCAGGAGGGGCTGTGAGATTCTCCAATTTTCCCCCTTCTCAAGTCCCTCCCCCACATTCTCAATATCCAGTATTATCTGAATGAGATAGGTGCCCCCCCTCCCCCTCCCCTGTGGGGAAGTCTCCGTCTGAGGCTGAGGTGGAGTCTGGTCCTTCACCTCACCTCACACAGATTCTTGAAAGGCAACATTGGACAAGGGTTGGGGAGGCCATGGAGGGTCCAGCTCTTTTTTCTTTTCCCTTCTAGGGAAGATTCTTTGGGTTTCGGTTTTACTATGATGTGCCTAGGTGTGATTTCCTCTGTATTTATCTTTCTTGTACTTCCTCGTGCTTCTACAACCTGTGGCTTGATTTTCCCCACAGTTTTGGAAATTTTTCAGGCATTATCTTTTTCCTCATTCTCTTTCTTCTCTCCTGGAACCTGAATTGTGCATATGTTCAACCATATGACGTTGTCCCACACGTCTCTTACACTCTGTTCTCTATTTTCTTTCTTTCTTTTTTTAACATTTATTCATCTTTGAGAGACAGAGAGAGAGCACAAGCGGGGGAGGGGCAGAGAGAGAGGGAAACACTGAATCCGAAGCAGGCTCCAGGCTCTGAGCTGTCAGCACAGAGCCTGATTCGGGTTTCGGCCTCAGGAACCGTGAGATCATGACCTGAGCCGAAGTTGGACACTTAACCAACTGAGCCACCCAGGCGCCCCTCTGTTCTGTTATTTTCTAGCCTTTTTTTCCTCTTTCTGTGTTTCTATCTGGATGCTTTCTTAAAATTGATTTGTCATCCAACTCACTAATCCTCTCTTTACCTGTGTCTTCTTTGCTCTAAAATCCAACCATACAGTTCTTAATTTCAATTGTTACACTGTTTCAGTTCTAGAATTTCCACTTGATTCTTTTTCATAGCTTCCAGTATTTTACTGACAGAATCCCTCTTATCTATTTTCTTGAACAGATTAAGCCCTTTAAAGTTCTTGTCTGAAGACTCCAACATCTGGGTTGCCTATTTCTATTGTCTAATTGCCTTTGGCTTTTGGTCATTTAGTCTAATCTCCTGGAAGGCTAGAGAAGTTATTGAATGCCCAACATTGTGCATGAAAAATCGTAGAGATAGCATGAGGTTCCAGATGATGTTACCTTCGTCCAGAGATTTACTTTTGTTTCTGACAGGCAGCTTAAGGGATAGGCCACCTTAACCCAGTCTGGGATTGCACTGACTGGGAGCCGTGTTTCAGTCTTCCTGAGTCTGGCCTGTATTCGTTTAACCATTACTCTCAGAGAATAGGCTGTTGGGCCCCCTAACCAAAAGCTAAAGGTTTTAACAAGGTTCTCCCCTCTTTAAGCCCTGAATTCCAATGTCGACTTCCTAATTTATGGCCACTGTCTCCTACACACTGGAAAAAATTCCTTAAGGGAAAAATGAACCAAATATTACTTCTCTCCAAGATCTTGGCCCCTCAAGTCCTTACTGTCTTCATAGCTCTCCCATGCCTTTGAACAGATTTCTTAAATTTAATCCCGCCTTTTAGTTATCCTCAGTGCGTAAGTTGGTCTGATACAAGCTAGTCTATCCAGAAACAGGTCTAGATGGGAATCTGAAATCAGCACTAATTTAGCTAAGTAGGTTGTGCTATGTTGAACATTTTGCAATAATATCTAATTTAGTTTTTACAACATGAGATTAAGTATTGCTGTTATATCCCCATTTTATAGATGAGGATACTGAAGCACAAAAAGATTAACTAAGTTCACCCCAAGATCTCTGAGGGGCCGTGGTGGTGCCAGGACTTGAAACCTGGTGTCCGGACCCTGCAGCCTGAGTTCTCAATCAAGCTAGTCTGGTGCTAGGTTTGCTAAATGCTTGTTGAATGACTGGAACACAGGGCATGGACTCTCCTCGGGCCCTGTAGCTAAGCTCCTGTAATCAGCACTTACACTGCTCCAAAGTCAACAATAGAGGAGGGGGCTGGTGTGTTTTGTGCATCTCTCGAGAAAAGTAAACTCACTTTTCTCCTTCTGTTGCTTAGCACACTCAGTGCAACAAAAGCACTAGCGGGGGACTGAGCTTCCAAGTGCCAATTGTCAATGAATGATTATTTGCTTCTGGGATGCAGAGCTGACTCTGAAAGACAAAACTACCCCCAGAGTCTCCACCCCAGGCAGAGAAAGGGCTAAGGGTTGATAGGTGTCTCCAGCCTGGTTAACTGGGATCCAGGGTGCAAAGGGGTGGGATGTTGAGGTTCCTCAGCTATTGCAATTCAGTTTGTGTCACCATTTCCATCTGACTGACTGTGGCCCTCCAGCTGGGGCTGCTGCAATGTTGGATGCTATTTTGTGGTGGGTGCTCTGACTAACTCTATTGTGTGGTGTCACTGGTGCCATTCACTAAATATTTTTTGTTCTCCCCCCTCTGAACACGTTAAAATTGGACTTAGTGGCCAATTTGTGATTAGGTGGGGCCATGTGAGTAGTTCTGGCCAATGAACAGCACCATGCATCACTTCTAGGCTCCATTGCTTCCGGATTATTTAATTTCAGAAGCAGGAATCTTTGGGATGATGCTATCACATTCCCAAATCCTTTAAGCCCTCTCCACTTCGATCTCATTGCCTGAACAGGAGGGAAGGCCATTGCTCTGAATCTTGAGTTGTTAGGATTGGAACAGACCTTCTCTTTAGTGAGCACTCCAATCTGCTGACCTGGTAGAAATCACATTTCTGGTAGATTTCACCATAGAAATCATTCATCCATGGATGGGAGAAACTGAAGCTTGGAAT